TTTATTTCCGACCCGGACAATTTTAGGGGTCTACAGAGCGTCCTCTGTTTCGGTGGAACCGGCACGCTTTCACCTTATCGGCTCTCGGGGGAGTGTTCGCCCTTTTCGGCATCACAAGGATTTCGGAAGCGAGGGCCTGCTCCATCACCTTGACCTTGCTCGTATTCAGGGGGGTGTAGGCGGTGTAGCGTGGTCCTCTCGGCGGTCGAGTTCTCGAGGCTCTCGGCCTGGCTCTTTTCGGCCGTAACCCTCTTCGGCCCTGGCCTGGTTTCGGGTCTCCGCCAGTTCCTCCATTTGCATATACTTCTCGGCTCTTCGTCGGAGGTCATTCATGTCAATGGGTGGTTTTTTGCACAAACTGTTCACGAATGGTCCCGGCCTGAGGGCCGTGCTCAGCCGATCCAATGCCACAGCAGGATTAAGATCACCAATCTCCATTACAATCTTGTTGAATCGGTCCATGAAGCTTCTTAGGCTTTCTTTCTTTTCCTGACGGACCCCGGCCAAGGCTAATGAGGTCGTCTTGTACGGCTTACTTGTTGCGAACTGCAAGGTGAACTGGGACGACAACTCACCAAACGAGTCAATGGAGGCACTCGGCAGTCTCGTAAACCAACTCAAAGCTCTTCCTTTCAGCGATGTGGGGAATATTCGGCATAAATCCGAGTCGTCCTGAGTGGAGAGGGTTGCCTGGGTCAGGAAAACGTTTAAGTGTTCCTCGGGGTCGGATGATCCGTCGTACTTCTCGATCGGCATGCTTTTCCAATGGTCTAACAGGGTTGCCTCCATTATTCTTCGGGAAAATGGATGCCTTAGGGAGTGAGTGGTGGTATCGGCCTTGTTGGCTATCAATGAGCTGACGGGAGTTCAGGTCACATGGTCAGTCGGGGCGTGATATGCCGACTCCTCTTGGAGAGTAGGGGTTGACGACACATTTGTTTGGTTAAGACCTCGGAGCTCGGCATTTTGTCGTCGCAGTTCGGCCAACTCCCTAGCGTCGGCCTCTCTCTGCCTTCGGATAGCGGCCATTTCCTCTCGTAAAGCACGCAAGTCATCTTGGAGGTCAGGTTGGTCTCGGTTAGTGTTCGGCCGGACCTCTTGTATCACAGGTTCTGGTTCGGTTTGAGGCATTCCATACGGGTAGCGTTCTTGGTTGGTCATGACGGGGTTGCTATCGGGATTAGGAATCGGTTGAGTTGCTGTTGATTGTCCTTTGCGGGTTACTACCATGTCTTGGTCTCAGTCGTAGAGTTCGGAAGGGGCTGAAAACGTCTTCTCGGCCCCACGGTGGGCGCCAAATGTTCCCGTGTTAGGATACACACTTCAATTATCTTTGTTGCGACGGGTCAGGTCTTTGGTCTCAGTTTTCTCGTTCCAATCCGGGCAGTCCGAAGCAAGAAGGGGGGGTGTGCCTGCAAAGACACTCTGACTCTCAAGTTAGTGCTCGGCGTAATAAATGCGGTAGTTCAGAATTAATTACATACCTCGTTGGGGTCCTATTTATAGTAGTTCTTATTGGGCTGCAATTAGGGACTGAGCCCCGGAAAATTAGGAGTCTAATCCTGTGCATTATGTTAATTAATCTCTCCGTAACCATCTAGATGATGCCGACATACTCGGTCGACTCTGCCGACCCGTTTCGCCCTATCTGGGGGTGGTCGGCGGGTTCGGGTACTCGGCATAAACAACGGTCTCGGGTATTCGGGCGATTTGGCCACCATACGGTATATGTAGTATAAAGTTCATGTTGCTAAAAGGTTTTAGCAATATTTTAACATACCAATTATAACATTTTATAAATGTTACAAATTGACATCTTAGGTAATATTTTGACATATCACTTGTAACATTTTATAAATGTTGCCAATTGACACCTTTTGCCTCATTTATCAAATGTTACAAATTTATGTTTTAAAATCTAAATTATAACAACTTTGAATCCATTGCTTCCTTATTAACTTCAAATAGTGAATTGAAAAATTACTATATTGTAACACTTGCAAGCATGAAGTTATGCATTTAATGAATTAAAATAAAGATAATTACTTCTTATTTAAATCCTTTTTGTCCATAATGGTATCATTCAAAAGGCAACACTAATTTGTTCTTTGTCAAAAATAAAACCAAAATCATCTAAGTGTCACTATTGCATTTTTCTATGAATTCTCATTTTGAGTTGTGTAACTTTCATATCAAATAGTAAGATGTCTTCAATATACATAATCTAAATTGCCACAATAAAAATCTGTTCCATTAGAGAAACTTTCAAATAACTACACACAAATACATAAACATGTTACGCTATATCTATTATATCACAATCAAGGTTATCTTACAATTTATGTTTTGGCAGGATCTAACGGAGGTGACTCAGGTTTGGTACGAGGATTAATCTTTTGAGGTGACTCAAATTTGCCTGCACCTGTCTTTTTCTCGTCCCTTGCTTTATCGAAAATCATTGTGTAGCCTTCAGCATGATGCTAGATCATTAACATCCCATTCACCAAACTTTGGTAGTGCTCGACCTGTGTCCTGGTTATCAATAGGATCAGATCACAGGTGCATTAAAGCTCTATTAAAGACAAATATTGTTTCCAAAAGAAGCACATGCTTGCAACTGCACTATTACTTTTCCAAAGAAACTCCTATCACAATGAAACACGAAATTCCTCTATCTATCTATTTATCAAGGAAACCCATTACAAAACCAAAAGCTGCCTACTTATAAAGAGGATTATGATACTTTTGAGAAAACTCGACAAGAACAAGTTAAAAATTAGCAAAAAGCATTAGAAGCAAATGAGCATGCAACATCTCATATGCAGGTATTATTTTCAACTATTAAAAAAAAACCCACACCTCTTTTCCCCCACTTTTACTTCTCCCCTCCCCTGTTTGTCAACAACAACCCCTCCTTCTCTAGTTTGTTATATGACTCATCTCCAACAGAGCCACCCATCTCTGTAATACATGTTTAGGGATTATATATCTATATTTTTTTAAAAAATACAGTAGTCTTCCTGTTGTAGCATATATTAGGGTTGGCTGCTATGTGCTACTATCTAAGACTGATAACTGTGTATAACTCATGTGCTGCTATCTAAGACTGATAACTGTGTATATATATAATAACTCATAGTTTTGTGATATCCTTAATTTTTTGATACCTATTACCCTTGTAAGTACTTTCCAACCTCAAGATTATTATGTGAGAACTTGGGAAATAGAACACAATGATAATTGGGATGGGATAATCGCATGATAATCACAATGATACATATTTTATTTATTTCTAGTAAAAAAAAACTGACTCAATCGAAACTAACAAAATAAATAAATCCATTTGCTGAGAAAAAGGCCAGCAAATATAACCTGCTTCAATTGTAGTTGTTTCCCCTAGCCTTCTGCAAACTGTGAAGAAAATACAAACAATAGGGAAAAGGAAGTTGAACCAATAAGATATCTCATTTACATCCTAAATTCAATGAACAATACGAGGGAATCAAAAGATCCTGGTTACTCAAAATTAAAAATCGTAAAACTTACTTTAACGTTTCAATAACTAGGTCAATATGAGTATGTGGCTTCCGATTTTGAAGAATAAGAGAGGTGAATGAGAGATGAAAAGAATTAGGGCATACTTCAGAGAGTTAAAAGGATCTTACCTCAGAGAAATGGATTTTTTTAACCAGGGTGTTTCTAGCTTTTGAATGTGAATGTTGTCATTGCTATTCACGATATTTTTTCTCTTTTGGTGCGGAAGGATCTACATCAGAGAAAGGGATTTTTACCGTGGGTTTTCGTGGCTTTTGAATGTGAACGTTGCCATTACTATTCACTCAGAGAAATGAATTTTTTTCTCTTTTGATGCAGAAAGGCTCAGTCATGAGTTTTAAGTGCTATTGCACTGTTTCTACGAGAGTTGGTGTAATTAAGCAAGTTTTTTTTTTTTAAAATAAGAAAATAGATTTTAAATAAAAACTAATTATTATTTAAAATTAGTAATTAAGCAAATAATAGTAAAATATATTATTAAAAATGTTTAATATGTTGGATAAATTATTAATATTTAATGTTAGAAAGTAAAAAAATAATTAAATAAAACAATAACATTTATGATTAAAAATGTTACTAAAAAGCATAATTCAAATTAATTGGTAATATTTATTATTAAAAATGTTACAAAAATATATAATTAAGAGAAATTAGTAACATTTTGTTACATGTTGGCACATAAATGTTACTAAATGAGTATATGTAGTAGTGATAAGTTAATATTACTAATATATAGATTAGATTAGGATACTCTACGGTTAATTTGGAAAGAAACGGCACAGTAAAAAATATTTAATGGAACAGTTTAACTTATAACCGTATATGCTCCAAATCCACATAAATTTATTTGCAAAATGTTCTCAATTATAAGAGAAATATTCTCAACTTAGGTTCCGACAAGGTTTGTTTTATGTAAATTGAAGACATTAAAAGTTAGCATTTAGTAGTGTGAATCTGAAATAGTTACTTAATTCACAACACTTTGGACATCATTTATTTTTATAAAATTTACTATTCTTTTGCTCCTTTCAATGACAATGAATAATAATTTTTTAAAATAACAATAATAATAATAATAATAATAATAATAATAATAATAATAATAATAATAATAATAATAATAATAGAATTATATGAGGTTAGAAGTCAAGATCTCAAACAAATTATACACTATTTTACCGCAATACTGCTAGAGTGACCATATATAGTTGGTGGTAATAGTTAATGATTATAAGTATGTATAGATATAATTTTTTTATTTTTATAAAGATTTATAAAAGAAAAATATATTTTTTAATAAATATTTGTAAAATTTTTCAAAAGTTAAAATTATTTTATTCAAAAGCTAATTTATAAAAGTTCTCATATTAATTACTTCTTTAAAATAATTTGTTTTTGTATCCTTTACTAGTATTTAAGAAAAAGTTTATATAAACAAACTATACACACATACATAAGAGATTTATTTACTTCAAGAATAAATTTAGATAGAATTACTTCTTTTAACAATTCATTATTTATATTAAATTTTAACAATTTAATTGCTTAGTTAAATTTTTTTAATAAGTAGATCAATTATACAAATTTTCACAAAATTTGAAAACTGTTTGATACTTCATTACATAAATTTAAATTAACATATCAATTTGAATATATGTAACAAATCATCAAATATTTTCAAATTTGGCAAAAATTTGTAGTCTTGATTTATTCATGAAGAAGTTTTAATTCAATAGTTAAATTGTTAAAATTTGATGTAGACAATTTATTATTGAGCGGGGTAGGTCTTCCCACAAAGACTTACTCTTGTAGTAATTAAGTAAACCTTTTCTTATACATACATACATACATACATACATACATACATACATTTGCTTACTTCAAGAGTAAGTCATGGTAGAGTTATTCCACTAAATTACTTGTGATCTATATTAAATTCCAACAATCCAACTCTTAAATTAAGAGTTCTTAATAAATTGATCGATTCTACAAATTTTTACAAAATTTGAAAATCACTTAATATTTCGCTACATCAATTTAAATTGACAGATAATCATAAAATCATTATATACATTGATTTGAATTTATATAATAAAGTATAATATAACTTTCAAATTTTTGAAAAAAATTTAAGTGGATCCCTCCTATCTATCTATCTATCTATCTATGTATATATATATATATATATATATATATATATA